TGGAGACTCCTGGGCATCAAACCCCTTGGAGACTCCTGGGCATCAAAACCCTTGGAGACTCCTGTGCATCCAGTATATCAAGACCCTCATCCACCAAGAGTCTTGGAGACCTCTGTGCATCAAGAGTTTTGGAGACCTCGTGCATTAAGCACATGAGAGACCCTTGTGCATCAGTGCTTTTGGAGATCCTGTACATCGAGAATTTTGCAGATCCTTGTGCATCCAGGAGTTGGACACCTCAGCCATCAAGGGTCTTGGAGGCCCCCACGCATCAAAATTCTTGGAGGCCCCCACGCATCAAAATTCTTGGAGACCCCCACAAATGAAGGATTTCAGAGACCTCCATGAATCAAGGATCTTGGAGATCTCCACACATCAAGCATCTTGTAGACCTCTGTACATCAAGGATCTCAGAGACCCCCACGCATCAAAGCTCTTGGAGACCCTCATGCATGAAGCACGTTGGAGACCCTCCCGTGTCCAGCAGTACCAGAACAAGCAGTTCCACATCCAAAAGGGTTCAAAACTCCCCAAAGCTGAGCATGACCCCAACCTAAAGATGACCCCGGGACCCCTTGGGATGAGGCTGACAGGAACCCGGGTGGGTGGAGAGAACTGAGGGGCGAGGAGGGGGGGCTGAGATCCGCCAGGAACCGCCAGTGCCCAGCAGGGAGGAGAAGTGGGAAGGCTCACCATGTTGAGGAGCTCCTGGAGCAGGCGCTGGGTGGGCTGCCCTTGGCTCCTCAGCACCTCGTAGAGGTGGGTGTAGCCGATGCGCTCCTTGAACACCTCCTGCAAGCACACGGACACGTGGGACCTGCTGCTCCCACCCCAGCAGGTGATAACACCCCATCCCATGTGCTTTTGGGGTGTCCCCTGGCTGGTTGCCCACCTTGGCTGAGGGTGAGTTGCTCATGATGGCTGTGAGGACACCGAGGGCATGGACCGCGATGGCATCGGAGCCGCCGGCACCGCCCTGCGGGGACACGGGAACGGTGGGTCTGCGGAGCCCTGGGGTGGAGGGGACACCCCACCACGCCTGGGGGTCGGGTTATGGGGTGGCCCCACCCCGTACCTGCTGCAGGCCATCCCTGCTCCGTGTGGGAACCTCGTCCCGGGCTTCACCCGCCTCCCGCGAGCTGCCGAGGTAGAGCTGTGGGATACGGGGGGGGAGTGGGACACAGGGACAGAGGGACACAGGGAAGAGGGTTTGGAAGGGCCCTGCCCCATGGGAGCTGCTGCAGCGCAGCCACACTGCCCCGGGATCACTGAGGGCCAGGAAGGGCAGGGGGGGACATGAAGGTGTCACCAAGTGGGGACATGTCACACTGTCCCAGGATGGTTTATGGTCAGGAAGATGGAAGGGTGAGGATGGGGATGAAGGTGCCCAACCCTGGTGTCATCAAGGGGGTCATGTCACCCTTTCCCAGGACCATTTAGGACCAGGAAAGGATGGAGATGCAAGTGCCCAATTCTGGTGTCACCAAGGAGGGGGGGACATGTGACCCTGTCCCAGGATCATTTAGAGCCAGGGAGGATCGAGACAAGGATGTCACCAAGGGTGAGGACGGAGATGAAGGTGTCACTAAGGGGGACATGCCACCCTTTCCCAGGATCATTTAAGGCCAGGAAGGGCAAGGGTGGGGATGAGGATGTCACCAAGGGGGGACATGCCACCCTTTCCCAGGATCATTTAGGACCAGGAAAGGATGGAGATGAAGTTGCCCAATGCTGGTGTCACCAAGAAGGCAGGGGGACATCCCACCCTGTCCCAGGATCACTGAGGGCCAGGAAGGAGGAGGATGGAGGTGAAGACATGAAGACAACCCCAAGGGGGACATGCCACCCTTTCCCAGGATCATTTAGAACCTGGAAGGGTGAGGATGGAGATGGAGATGTCACCAAGGGGGACATCCCACCCTATCCCGGGATCCTTTAGAACCAGCAAGGGTGGGAATGAAGACGTCACCAAGGGGGACATCCCACCCTATCCCGGGATCCTTTAGAACCAGCAAGGGTGGGAATGAAGACGTCACCAAGGGGGACATCCCACCCTATCCCAGGATCCTTTAGTAGCAGGAAGGGTGGGGATGGCAGTGAAGGGGCACAACCCTGGTGTCACCAAGGACATCCCACCCTGTCCCAGGATCACTCAGAGCCAGGAAGGGCGAGGCTGGAGCCGAGGCTGGAGGCCATCCCAGAGGCCATCCCGTACCGTGCTGTTCTGGAGCAGGCGGATGATGTGCTCGAAGCAGTTGTTGCTCAGGAAGGTGGCCTGGAGCACCGGCCGGTCCTCGCAGCTCAGCATGGCCGGGATGGCGTCTGCATGGAGGGGAGCACGGATCAGCCCCGGCCACATCCCACATCCCACACCCCAAACCCCATTCCAAACTGTCTACCCAGCATGAACACCCACAAGCCGATGGGGAGCATGGATCAGCCCCAGCCACATCCCGTATCCCAAACGCCATCCCAAAGCACCCACCTGCCCAGCACGAGCACCCACAAGCCGATGGGGAGCACGGATCAGCCCCATCCCATATCCCAAATCCCATCCCAAAGTGCCTACCCAGCATGAGCACCCGCAGGCCGATGGGGAGCACGGATCAGCCCTGGCCACATTCCAGATCCCAAACCCTCTCCTAAACCACCCACCTACCCAGGATGAGCACCCACAGGCCGATGGGGACCACGGATCAGCCCCAGCCACACCCCACATCCCACATCCCAAACCCCATCCCAAAGCACCTACCCAGCATGAGCACCCACAAGCTGATGGAGATCATGGATCAACTCCATCCACATCCCACATCCCACATCCCACATCCCACATCCCACATCCCACATCCCACATCCCACATCCCACATCCCACATCCCACATCCCAAACTCCATCCCAAAGCACCTACCCAACATGAGCACCCACAGACTGATGGGGAGCACAGATCAGCCCCGTCCAC